AAATGTTTGTTCCCACACATTAAAAGCAATGTTTAGCTAGGCACGATGGCATACTACCTTTAATCCCAGTACTTGGGAAGCAGAGGCAGCAGATCTCTGAGTTCAAGGCCAACCTGATCTAGTTCCAGGACAGGCTCCAAAGCTACAGAGAAACCCTGTCTCAAAAAAACAAAAACAAAGAGTTAACTAGTAACAAGCCTGAGCTATTGGTCAAGCATTTATAATTAATATTGAGTGTCTGAGTGGTTTCTTGGGAGTGGCTTAAGGACAGAAATTTCTGCCAACAAGAAATTTTCCATTTGATCTGTCTCTATTTTTTAACGCGAATCTGTTTTTGTCAGTGTTAAGTCACACCACAGTCTCTACTTGGCCTAGACAGACTAGTACCAGGTGAATCTAAAACACAAGCACTAGATTCCACCTTCTAGTGTTAGCTATAAAGACTTCTTTTCTAAGGTCCCTACAGTATCACATGCCTCGTCAAATAACTCGTCAATCTGTCCCTACAGTGAAAGCCAAGGAAACAGAAATCCTCTGCCCATGATGGTCCCCTAAGCCTGCATGCCTCATAAGAACCAGCCTGTTCTCCCTCTCTCAGGGAGCAGTTCTCTGTACTGGCTGGATGGCTGCTATGTGAAGGAGTGCCAGCTTCACAGGACGGCCTTCAATTTCTACTCCTTAGTTATTGTCTCAGGACCAAACTTATGAATATGTACATCTAAACACTTCTAATACATAGGATAAGTGAGTCACTGGGCAGAGGTCAAGCTGGGAAGAGGTGGTAGCTATGCTGCACCGTCTTTATTATGCTGCTTAGCTCACGGTTCTGTGTTGAGAGGCTTGTTCTTAACTCTGAAAGCAACACGCTACAGGTCAGAACATGCCATGCCTCCTCTCCTGGTTATTACTAGTAAATTTGCTTTTCAGTCAGCGTGAGGTAGATAGGAGTTTAAAGAAGGTAACTTCTGGCTTCTTAACTGTTATGCTATATATTAGGCACATAGGGGTCTAAAGCTAAATCAAAAAAAGAGACCTTTTCTCTTCAGTAAGAGAGTGAGTGCAGATTTTGTTTTGACTGCCACTAAACACTCTGGCTACTTTTGAATGAACTAAAAATTACCTCATCAATTAGAGGCAGAGATGGTTTCCCTCTTATTCTCAATCCATCTCCCTACCTCCCTGGCCAGTTGCTGTAACCACAGAGATCCTGGGCCGGACACCCACAAGCAGCAGATGAAACCCAGCACTATCTTTTGGCTACCTTTAGCTGGAGAGATGGGGATTAGCAGGACAGAAAGGAAAACTTCATCAACAGAGCAGCATTTTCACTTCATCTGTTCCTGGGGGCAAAACAGCTCTCAAGAGAAATGTCAGTGTAAGCTGAGCAGTTCTCTCCACTCCTCATTACGGTGGCCCCAGTTATAATCACAACCACGGTGACAAGATTTAACACACCTGGTCTCAAGGATGCAGCGGGGGAGTTAGGCATCCATCCATCCCATTTCCTTCCTTCACCCACTGAGTAAGCACAATTTGTAAGTTTCAGTGAGTGTGGCCCTGAGGTGTGAACAACAGGAGAGGCATTTTCTGTTGACACCACTTTTTAAAAGTGACAGAGATCTTCAAGGCCACAGGTTAATTCCTGTTTGGTGAGGCAAACAGTGCTGCTTTCATTAGCTATACGCAGATGTGAGGCACTTAGATAACGTTTCTTTTCTTTTTCTTTCCTCCTCTTCCCCGGGCCCTCCAGTAGCCCATGTTAGTCTTGAACTTGGTTATTATGAAGCCAGGGTTAACCTGATCCTCCTGCTCCCAACCCGAGTGCTGAGATTACAAGCACACAACAGCACACCCAGCTTTTAGAGTTCCTGCTTCAGCTTTCATTGTTCTCTAATTCACACACGCACACACAATTCTCTTTTATTGCATATGTACATGTGTGCATAGCATTACTCATACTTCATAAGAATTTTTCCTCTTTTGATATTGGGGTCAAACTTATTGCGGTCTACAAGTGAGCTACACCCCATGTCCAAAGTTTTATGGCTTTGTTTTGTTTTATCTGTGCAACCCAGGAGCACCTGTTCTGTAGCAGACAGAGCTGAACTTGTGACTCTCCTGCCTCCAGATCTCAAATTTGGGGATTTCAAGGGTACAACACCATACTGAGCTTAGATTTTTCTTTAAAAGGTTGTAACTTGGGCTGGGCGATGGTAGCACATGCCTTTACTCCCAGCACTCTGGAGGTAGAGGCAGGCAGATCTCTGAGTTTGAGGCCAGCATGGTCCTCAAAGCGAGTTCCAGGAAAGGCTCCAAAGATACACAGAGATACCTTATCTTGAAAAAACAAACAAAAAAGTTGCAACTTATATTCTTAAATATATTTTATTATTTATTATCTATTTATTTGCATGCACACGTGCATCTCTGTGCATGGGCCTGAGGAGGTAAGAGATATGTCAGATCTGCTGAAGCTAGAGTTTCAGGCAGTTGTGAGCTGCCTGATGTGGGGGTGCTGGGAATTAAACTTGGGCCCTCTGCAAGAATAACATATGCTGGAACTGAAGAGATGGCTTAGCGGTTAAGAGCACTGTCTGCTCTTCTGGAGGTCCTGAGTTCAATTCCCAGCAAACCATATGGTGGCTCCCAACCATCTATAATGAGATCTGGGTCCTCTTCTGGAGTGCAGGCATACATGCAGACAGAAGACTGTATATATAATAAATAAATAAATAAATAAATCTTTCTTTAAAAAACAACAACAACATATGCTGTTAACCGCTGCGCCATTTCTCCAACCTCTTAGATCATCTTTTATTACTAAATACTTTTAGACTGGTAGAAGATTTTAATATAGAATCCTTGTATTCCCTACTCAATCTTCCCAGTTGTTAAGGATTACATAAACAGTGATACTGACTCGGGACCCAGCTCAGCGCAAGCTAGAATGAGTAAAGCTCTACTAGGTTCAACTCCAATTCCAAAAAGAAAAAAAACTGCAACAAGAACAACACAAGGACCACGATGTATTTACTAGAAGCATCATAGATTTGTTGTTGTTTGAGATAGGATCTCACTGTGTAGCCCAGGCTGGCCTTGAGCTCATGATCCACCCGCCTTGCCTCCTAAATGCTGGGATTATACGTATACAGCAGTATGCTTAGCCTAAGTTATTTTCTTGAGTGGCAGAGGATGGAACCCAGGCTTTTCCTGTGCTGAGCGCCAGGCAAGTGTCAGACCATCTGCACCTCAGTCCTGTAGATCTTAACAAAGATGGAAAGTACAGAAGTTTCTTAATTCTTGTTTGTACAGCAGGTTCTGAACAAAAGCTGCATGTATACTACAGCAATTCATTTAATTCTAGGAACCATCAGTTATGTGCACATGTCCCTGTCTTATCGCCAGACAGACTAGGTGAGAACTCCATCACTGCACAATTCTTCCCAGAGAAAAGCTCTTGTGAGTCAGCTCGGCCACTCTTCCCACTTCCTTTGTGTCACTATTAGTCACAGCCCCAGTATTCATTTCCTGCCATCGTCCTCGCTAACTAAACTTTGATTTTGTTTCAAGCAGAAATGCGCAGGCTAAATGCAGCATGGAGACACCTTACCGTGGGGGTGGTTAGGTGAGCAATGACTGAAACAAAGTAAGCTGAGGGGGGTGATGGTAGAAAACTGCCCACCCCCCCACAGGATGCAAAATGCCTACAATTGTTTTTCTCTCACCTTCTTTATTTCCCATTTAATCAGTTCTAGGGGCCATGCCTACTGCAGCCACACTGCTACTAGGAGACAATGGGCCGTGACAATCCAAGAAACACTGGCCTTTCTATAGCTAAGTTACTAAGAAACACACAGTTCTTGTGATTTGATAAAAACAAATCCTCACTTGACGAGCCCACCACAATCAAGCTTTTCTAACTTGCAGGTGAACACGTTCATGCCACATGAGCCCATGCAAACCCAACCTTACCCTAGGCAAGGCACATGTGAAGGCAGAGAAGAGCAGCCGAGGGTGGCAGACAGGGAAGTGGCCGTTTGGAAACCAGCTGCCAGGCTGAACGACAACAAGTAGGCATTTATGGAGACAGCGAGGCTGTCAAGGTCGGAAGGGGATAACTAAGAGTGCCTACATGTACAAACAGGTGTTGGTGACCTGATACGGTGAAACACAGGCATGAATAAGCCTCTCTGTGACAGAACAATCACTCTCACAATGGCTTCCCGGAGGTTTGGTTAAATACTGATGTGCGAGCCGCAGATCAGTCTGTGGGTGCCAGCAAGTGAATTATTAATGCAGACTCTAATCTGAAAGCAGTTGGGGAGGTGGTTCCATTAGAAGCAAGAGGGAAACTCATTTTGAGTTCATTCACTCTCAGCACACATTTCGATTCATAAACTTTCTTCCTGTATTGGCCATACAATGGGGAGAGGTCCAACCAAACCACTTGAAGGAAAGAAGAAAGTATAATTTACGCCACAACTCAGAGCTGGAAAGAAGTCTCTTAAATGAAGCCTTCCATCCCTAAGCATGAACAGTGAAGTGGGTCAGAAAGACAAGCCACCAGAGCTCAGGCTGCAGAGCAGGGTGAATGCGCTCCAGCTAGCTCACTGTGGAGCCTGCCCTGAGACTGCCAGGACTCACAGCCTCTGTAAACACGCGTGGTTTTCCCGCAGCAGCTACTGTGCTGCTAATGCCTCATAGAGACTCTTACTGGAGATGCAAGTCATACCATTTTCTTGCTATGAAAACCTCAACTCAAATCTAAGAAAGACGTTTAAGCTGAACCTATACAAGGAAGACTGGGTCCAGAATAACACAAGGAAGGGAAGATGCACGGCAGGGGGGGGTGGGGGTGGGGGGGGGGGTGGGGGGGGGGGGGGGGGGGGGGGGGGTGGGGGGGGGGGGGGGGGGGGGGGGGGGTGGGTGGGTGTGGGGGNGGTGTGTGTGTGTGTGTGTGTGTGTGTGTGTGTGTGTGTGTGTGTGTGAAGCTGGCTTACCTCAGTTGCTTTCTGGCTGAGTCCCCGCAGCAGCAGCACAACCACATGGATCGCGGCTCTGCGCACCTGAACATCATTGTCGGACTTAGCTACAGCAATCAGGCAGGCTGTCACCTAGGAGGGTGAGGGAAGAAGTCAATAGGAGCCAGGATTGCATAACTACCGTAGTCTTTCAACTGCGTTCATCTCAATTACACACTACCTAAGAGCAAGCTGGCTTAGAAAGGGGTGGCTTAGTTTTCTCATGCTCAATGAAGAAGGTGAGATCAGTGGTAGAGGTCCTGATACAGCCAACTGTTTCTGGAAAAGGTCAAAATCTGGTTTGAAATTCAGGGGTGGAACCAAGGAGTGGGAAGGCAAAGATGTCTACAGAATATGTTTTCAAAAAAGGCAAGGCCAAATGCAAGTATTCCCTAAAATTGGAGAAAGGTATTATGTGCTTATCTTCAGGAACTTTCCATCAGAGGAAGGACAGATGGGCCAGAGCAGTTTCTAGGGCCTGAGGACCATGAGGCTCAGCTAATCAGCTTCGGAGTTCCTGGGCTACCATGCGACGGGTATGCCATTAATGACAGTCTGAGCACAGGGCTATGAGGAGAGAGACACTCATCTCCCTCTGCATGTCCACCCAGTCCTTCAAACCTAGTGTCCGTTCTACGAAGACAGCATGGCCAGTTTCAGAGGTGCTCTGCCTGCGTCTCTTCCTTTGTAGACCGGATCTTTCAGCACTCAGGCACTTTCAAAGACAATTCCATCTCAGAAAAGAAGGACTAGAAATTACTTGCAAACATGGTGTCATGTGGGCCAGTGAGATGGCTCAGAGGGGACAGGTGTGAGCTACACAAGCCTGGTGCCCCAAGCTCTATCTCTGAAGTGTTATAAAGGGGAAGGAGAGCCAGATCCCTAAAAACTGTCCCTTGACCCCCTGCACTAAAATAAAACATAGTGCCATACACACAGCTAATAATTACACGTGATAAAAATGAGACAGTGCAAGGCTGGGGATGGCGCTGCAGGTAAACTGCTGTTGTGCAAGCTTGAGGACCTGAGTTAGAAACTGGTACACACAGAGGAAGAGGAGGAGGGGAGGGGAAGGAAAGAAACACAGAGAGAGATTCTAAATCCTGCGCCAGATATCCTACCACTGCTCCTCACAAGCACAAAGATACTCTAAAAGGTCTATAAGGAGACACCATTAACAAGATGCCTTTCTGAGGCATTCAGGCAAGGCTTAAAAGGAAAAACATAACTTTTGTGTGTCACATGGCAGTAACAAGCTGCAAGTATGTCTAAATTATTCAATTGGTTTCTCACATAGTTTTGCTATTAGGTTTTCATTGTGTGCTTGTATTTCTTGGCCAACAGTGGAGAGAATTCTAGCCATGATAAGAAAATAGCCAGACCGTGTACTAGAAAACATGTATAAATACTTATTATGTTCAAAGGATGGGGAATACAGGCACAATGAGGAAACAGGCTTGTGTAGAAATTTTAACTATGCAGGTTGTATTTTTCACAGCTTTCAAACAGTTGGGCAGAGTTCAAAGTACCTAATTAATCAGTGATGGCAGAGAGATTAGAAGAAGGAGGCTTGTTCTGAAATATAATTGCATCTGTGATGCGCTGGCATTCCATCAAGTTAAGCATCTAATAGACACACTTGCAGTTTGAAAAGGAAGAAAAATCCCAGAAACTGCAACCCATGGGGGAACTGCTGTTCAGTAAGATCTAGGAAGCTGCTTCTCTGCTTTGGACCTGGGACCCCCAACCCTAAGGCCAGCAGGGGCAGCTTCCATGCCCCTGGCATTAACGGCAGGCAGAAGCATTTTAGTTAGGAATTCCTTGGGCCACCTCCAAGGAGGCAACAATATAATAGCTACCTTCACTTTCAAGCTTAGTATTTACAAGGTAGGAACTGAAGACAGAGAAACAAGTTATAGCTAAGGTTGTAGTCTTTCCAGACACACGAAAGTTTTTCTTATTTGGTTTCATAACATAGGAAGCCAGCCCACAGCAACATCACAAGCAGAGGTCTGAGTGACTGCCCCTGTGCCTCTCAAGGTTTAGCGTTGGATGCAGGATTCCAGTTTTGGAGACCAAGGTTTCCCCTTCAAAACCCTGCTGGTGCCTGCTTTTGCCTCCACTGTTCTGCCCCCCTGCGCCTCTCAGTACAAGCCTGGTTCTGATAGTTAAGCTATAATTTGGATATCTAGGGAGAAGAATCCTGTTTGGAGAAGGGCTTTTCTCTTCAAAGTTAATTCTTCAATCCCTATGCTATATCTTGAAGGTACAGTGGAAAAAACTGTGCAAGTAGTTGTCCAGGACAATCAGGAAGAGGCCTAAGATCAGAAGAGGCCAATGAACCTTTCTCTACACCTCTGCCATGAGGACCACATTCTACATAAGGAATTCAAGGCAGTAGAATTTTTGTATGGCCTTGTATATGTCATCTAAAGGTCAGAACATCCTCCTGCTCAGGTCAAGCACTTGTGCCTAGCTCATACACTGCTTTCCTGAAAGCTGGTACCATGGATTTCTGCCTAACTCTAGAAGTGGGGAGCTGGCAAGGCTGTTACCTTCCATTTTCCTAACACTCCAGGGCTAGTCTCTCACCTTTCCAAGGACAGACTCAACATTGCCTTCCATCTCTAAAAGCCTTGGTGAACCACAGACATGATGTAAGGTCTTTACTAATTTATAATATTCCTAGTTTCCATTTCTAAGCTTTCCCATAGGACAGAAATCCACTTTGGATTAATTTGGGACACTTGCCCTGAAGGTCAATGCACCTATCCTAATGAGTGATACTGCTTGCTGAAGGCTTCCTCTTCACAGGCAGAATCATGGAAGCCATTTTCCCTTCTGAAAGTCATACAGAAGGGAAGATGATGGCTGCTTTGGAAACATTAGTGGCCAGTTTGAGAAACTGAACATTTCATAGGAGCCACAGAAATAAGGAAGATCATCACCCCCAAACAGCTGGCACACACCTGTATAAGGAAGACTATGTAAATAATGACAATAAAATGGCAAGATTACCAATAAGCACTTTGGAAAGCCCCAGGAGAGAAGCTACTAGAGTTGAGGTGTGCATCAAGAAGCCATGACCTCAGTGTTCCAGTGTCCCTTTCTCCCTTTCCCTGAAGCTTCATTTGTTAAAATCCAGTTGCTGTGCTCACATGTCTGAAACTGGATCTACTGGAGAACTATAAAGCAATGGTTAGCCGGGCGATGGTGACGCACGCCTTTAATCCCAGCACTCGGGAGGCAGAGGTAGGCGGATCTCTGTGAGTTCGAGACCAGCCTGGTCTACACAACTAGTGCCAGGACAGGCTCCAAAGCCACAGAGAAACCCTGTCTCGAAAAAAAAAAAAAAGAAAAAAAAAGCAATGGTTATTATGAGCTCAGCTTACTCATTTAACCTACTGGAAATAAACCGTGATGGTTACTTGAGCTCCTTCAGGGTTCCCCAAAGCATCAGTGGAGTCTCACTGCAGGTACTTTGTTGCATATGCAACTGCACTGATGGTGGAAAAGCCTGTGATCAACTCAGAGCATGTGCTGCTTTGAATGAGAATGTCCCCACAGGCTCTGGCATTTCAACACTTGGTCCCCAGTTGATAGCGCTGTTTGGGGAAGCTCAGGAGCTGTGACCTTGATGGAGGAGGTACATTAAAAGGGGCAGGCTTTGAGTTTTTTCCTTGCATCATTTCTAGGTTGCTCTCTTCATTTTATGGTTATGGTTTAAACAGTGAGCCTTGCTAGACGTGGTGACACATGCCTTTGATCTCAGCACTCAGGAGGCAGAGACAGGCAGATCTCTGTGAGTTTGAGGTCAGCTTGGTCTACACAGGGAACTCCAGGACAACTAGGGTTACATAGAGAGACAATGCCCCTACAAACAATAACAACAAAACAAAGACAAAAACAAAACAAAAAAGGAAGAAAGATGTATGCCTTCAGCTTCCTGTTCCTGCCTTCACACCACCATCATGGACTCCAGCCCCCCAGAATTGTAAGCCTGAATAAGCTCCTTCATATATAGGTTGCCTTTGTCATGTTTTATCACAGCAATAGGAAAGTAACTAATAGAACAGTGACTCTGTACCTGCCTCAGAGCTCAAGTGTGTGGAGTTTTGGGCAGTCATTAAAGTAGGCTCTTCCATGTCCTTGTTACCTGGGACACATCTTATTTCCTGGATTGAGGACAGGCCTCTTCCTACACTGACTTAAATCACAATACTTCACACAGTGATAAAGATGAAAGCCTATCAAGATTTGGTTTCAAGTAACATAGTGCTTAACATGAACAAGAAGTTGTGGAAAAAATGATAATGTACTCTAAACAGGCTAAATCTTGACACCAACAAAGAAGAAAAACTTGAATTCCCAGTAGGAAGAGAAGGGGAAGAGCTGGACCTATACTTTCTCCCCCCTCAGCCAACACCATATAAACTACAGAAGTGTTCCCAATCTGGACCACTCACACATTAGGACAGTTCTCTTCAGATGCCACAGCTAGAGGGGCGAATGTCCCCAGAGCAAAGAGCATCAGAGGAGTGTTTGATGGCTAGTTCAACTTTCTCTCTCTCTCTCTCTCTCTCTCTCTCTCTCTCTCTCTCTCTCTCTCTCTCTTTTTGTTTTTGTTTTTTGTTTTTCGAGACAGGGTTTCTCTGTGGCTTTGGAGCCTGTCCTGGAACTAGCTCTTGTAGACCAGGCTGGTCTCGAACTCACAGAAATCCGCCTGCTTCTGCCTCCCAAGTGCTGGGATTAAAGGCGTGCACCACCATCGCCCGGCTAGTTCAACTTTCTAACAAAGTGGATTATGAACCTGCATTTCTTCTGCCTTCCTAACACTTATCAACATTACTTCTCTAATACAGAGTCCCAGCTCTGTGTGAGCCCTGTGCTTGGTCTAGTGAATCATCTGACCTGTCCATTGTAGACTCTACTGACATGTCAGGCTGCAGAGCAGTCTCTCAAGTTAAGGTTCCTTCTCTATCAGCACTTGAGGCTAGGGACCTCCCAGACTCCAGGATCAGAACCTTCATTAGACGCTGAAGAGCTAATAAAAATGTCTCAGCAATTTGGAATAAATTACACCATTGCATTTCTTCTGCTGTTTTCTCATCTCACACAAAAGAAAACCCCACCGACTTTGTAAGCCCTATGTGGACTGGCCACTACTTTTCCAACGCTGGCTCCTACTGTTCTTTCTCTCACACTCCTCTCTCCAGCAACAACCCACCTGGAATGTTGTCCTCCAGGTACATGGATCACCTCTTTCCTTACATCTTTGCTCAAATGTCACTCAACAGAAAAATCTGCTTTGTTGGAGTGGATATGGCCTTGTTGGAGGAAGTATGTCACTGTGGGGGCAGGCTTTGAGGTTTCCTATGCCCAAAATACTGCCCAGTGTCTCAGTCAACTTCCTGTTGCCTCTGAGTCAAGATGTAGGACTCTCAGCTCCAGCATCATGTGTTCCTGCACACCACCATGTTCCCTGCCATGATGATAATGGACTGAACTTCTGAAACTGTAAGCCGCCACCCAATTAAATGTTTTGTTTATGAGTTGCCGTGGTCATGGTGTCTCTTCACAGCAATAAAAACCCTAAGACAGCGGGCCTTTAATCCCAGCACTCGGGAGGCAGAGGCAGGCGGATCTCTGTGAGTTCGAGGCCAGCCTGGTCTACAAGAGCTAGTTCCAGGACAGGCTCCAAAGCCACAGAGAAACCCTGTCTCGAAAAACCAAAAAAAAAAAAAAAAAACAAAACAAAAAAAAAACCAACCAAACAAACAAACAAAACCCCTAAGACAGTGACAAAATTCAACAAAATCTGGCACTTCTTAAGTGCTATAAACCTGTGTTATCTCAGTCTTCTATATGCTGTGGTTTCCATGAAGAGAAAGGGAAGAGTCTAGAGGCTGAGAAAGCAAGCTGGTGTTCAGGTTTGGGTTCAGTGATGTCAATGCGCAGGACTCTTCTATCCGGCCTCATTCTGTTACAAAGGTATGGCTACTGGCAGCTCTGAGCTGAGCAACTCGGCCTGGCCTGTGTGACCAAGGAAGATCAATGCTAGATTTGCCTAAGATTTTTTGGTAAATAGAAATGACTCACAGATGACCAGAGAATGAAAAAAGGTCAGTCTAGCTCATCCTCAAAGTTTCTTCAAATGTGTCAGCCGCATCAGGGTCTTTGTAGCAATTTATTAGTTGTTTTTAAGCAAGTGTGAGGAACCTGGAACTTAGATTCTAATGACAGGTTGAGAACATCTCTTCTGAAATGCTTGGGACCAAACTGTTGTGGAGTTCAAATTTTTTTTGTGTAAAATTTACATATACATAATGTTATCCAAATATGCAATTTAATTATATTTCACATAAATTTTAGATACCTAGCCAGAAGGTTAATTCTATACAACCCTTTTTCCTACCTGAGATAGGGTTTTTCTGTCTAGCCCTGGCTGTCCTGGAACTCACTCTGTAGACCAGGCTGGCCTCAGACTCAGAAATCTGCCTGCCTCTGCCTCCTAAGTGCTGGAATTAAAGGTGTGTTCTGCCACCACCTGGCCCTATATAACATTTTATGTAATTTTATGTAATTTTATGAAATTGTACCAAGTTTTGTGGTCTAGAAAAATTTCCAACTGTGACATTATACTGTTATTAGCATTTTGGATTTTAGATCATCTTGGATAATTTTGTTTTTATTTATTTATTTATTTATTTATTTATTTATTTATTTATTTATTTATTTATTTATTTATTATGTATATAATATTCTGTCTGTGTGTATGCCTGCAGGCCAGAAGAGGGCACCAGACCCCATTACAGATGCTTGTGAGCCACCATGTGGTCGCTGGGAACTGAACTCAGGACCTCTGGAAGAGCAGGCAACGCTCTCAACCTCTGAGCCATCTCTCCAGCCCATCTTGGATAATTTTGGATTTTAGAGGGATGCTCAATCTGGAAGACATCTTTCAATATGAGTATGAAGTAAACAGGGAAATTAAAGGCAACAAATCATTACATCAAACATATAGATTAATAGGGAATCAATAATTAATATGATCCCCAAAGGACTCTATGTTCTACCACAGAGCTATTAGGACATATATATTTATTGCTGTGCTATCCACTACAGCTAGGAAGCAGATCCAGCCTAGATGTCCATCAAGAGATGAATGAGCTGGGCCAGGGTGGCACATGCCTTTAATACCAGCATTCAGGAGACAGAGGAAAGTGGATCTCTGTGAATTTGAGGTTAGTCTGGTCTACAGAGCAAGTTCCAGGACAGCCAGGACTACATATAGTAAACCCTGTCTCGAAAAGAAAGGGAGAGAGGGAGAGAGAGACAGAGACAGAGAAAAAGGAAATGAGTTACATATATATAGTGAGAAAAGAAAGATGAAATCATAACATTTGCAAAAAAATGAGTTGAACTGAAAATTATCTTAAGGGAAATATCTCACATTTAAAAAGACAAATACTACCTGTTTTCTCTCACCTTTGATCAAATATTTTATTTATATGTGTCCATTCATGTGTGTGTGCATGTTCATGTATGTGCACCCATGGCCGTAGTGTATACATGTTCATGTATGTGCAGCCATGCATGTTTATTTCTCTCTCTCTCTCTCTCTCTCTCTCTCTCTCTCTCTCTCTCTCTCTCTCTCTCTCTCTGTAGAAATCATGAAACTAGAAGAGGGATCCTGAAAGGTAGAAACGAAAGTCTTGGGGAGGGTTCAGAAGATTAAAAAGTAGAAGAAGAACAAAAAGCAAAAAGGGGGAGCAGCAGATACACATGATATGAAATACAAGGAGACAAATGAAGGAGCGAGGAAGGGGATTAGGGAGAGGGGTAGGGGCAGTGGATTAAAAACAACAAAGTACGCATGAAATCTCATAATGAAACTTATTATTTTGTATACTATTTTAAAATAAGTAAATAAAATTCAAAAGTGAACTAAGTTGAGGAAGGGGAGGATGATAGGACAGCCTACAGAGGTTAAATGACAGACTTGTCCCGTTTCAGAGGGATGCAGTAGCAGATAGAAAAGGACTACAGGTTGATCTCCTGACTCAGGAGCCCACACTTTATCACAGTCTCAACAAATCAAACTCTGGGGACAGAGTCAGCATACGGTAGGTACCTCATGAACCACAGGGCCCAGCAGGAAGTCCAGGCGCTGGCACAGCTCTCCCAGGTTGGCTAAGCTGCTGGCCCTGTGTGCAGCATCTGGATCTTTCGCTCCCCTCAGGAATGTGTGGAGCAAAGGCTCCCGGTATTTTGAGACCATGTCCCCTGTAGAAAAAAAACAAAAAACCATCAAAATCCTTTAACATTTCAGCTCTTTAGTGAAGGACTAGCGATTTAACATGGCACACTGCATGGTGCCTTACTCTGCAGTGGGCATATATAACCACTAAGAGTCATGCTCAGAGCTGGGCATGGTGGCTCATGCCTGTAATACAACACTTGGGAAGCTGAAGAAAGTTCTCGTGTTCAAAATCAGCTTGAACTCCACAGTCAGCTTCAAGGCAGACTGGGCTCCATGCTAAGACTTCTCTCTGTTAGATATGCTAATGTTATTTAGATATGAAAATTAACAAAGCATCATCTTTAGCCTATAAGAAGTCAAAGGTTAAACGGTGGGTGCAAACAAGTGCTGACAACTGTGGTCCTGACACACTCCATGCAGTTCTGTGTCTCTCTCTGCCCTGTGGACATCAACATGGACCCGGGGATGACTCAGCCAGTATATTTTCAGCATAGAAAATCGGTACACACTCAGGGCTGGAGATGGAGCTCGGCGGGTAAAGTGCTTGCCTAGCATGCATATTGCTCTCGGTTGAATCCCTAGCACTGGCTAAAACTCAGTGTGGTGGAGACCTGTAATCCCAGCACTCAAGGGGCAGGAAGAACAAAAGTTAAAGGTGATCCTCAACTACAGAGCAAGTTGGACACATGAGACTTAAAAAAAAAAGTGTTCAAACTTGGGCTATTTGACATTTAAGTCCTATAACATACTACATTTAAGATATTTGCAACGAAAAAGAAGATATGCTCTTCTACTTTTCCCATAGTGCTCTGCTTCTCTGGAGTTGAGAAGAGGCTTGCTCATTCTGCAGAGTGTAATATAGATCCAGGGCTGGGTTCGAGTTTGGTCTCTGCTCTAAACAATAATGTGACCTTGGACAATAAACCTCCCCTCTTTAGACAGAGTAGAGATGAGCCCATGAGACAAGATGATCCTTCTGGTTATAAATCTATAGGTTTGTGAATAATTTTGTTTAGCGAAAGGGACACGAGAGCTAACAGTCCCAGGAAAGAAGAGGGGGCAACATTCATAAGCCCTGCGGTATGAGTTTGTGCAGTTAAAGGAAGTAGGTTCCTTGTCAAGAAGGAGGGCACAAGAAAATAAAAGAGGTCTGGAAATACAGAAGGGAGAGAAATTGCAGGATAAAAAGAATAAGCATAAGAGAACCAAATTAGTTGTTAATAACAGACTTAAAATCAAAATAAATGGTAAAAAAATACATTCTAAGTTAATTGATTATTTCTTAGTCTCTTGTTATTACTATTATAGATAGGGTTTTCCTGTAGTTCCAGTTGATCTGGAACTCACGATGTAGCACAAGCTGGCCTCAAAATAATGGCTATATATGTATGCCATGTATGAGGGCAGAAGAAGGGGATCAGATCCCCTGGAGCTGGAGTTCCATGTGGTTGTGAACTACCTGATGTGGGTGCTGGCAACTGTTAGAAGAGAAGCAGGCATTCTTAACTACAGAGCCATCTTTCCAGCCCACTGTCATTATTATTAATTTTGGTTTTTGAGATAGTCTCACATAGTTCAGGCTGGTTTCAGTATTGCCATATAACAAAGACTGGTCTTGACCTCCTGATCCTTCTGCTTCTACCTGCCAAGTGCTGGAAGTACAGAGCCTGTGCCACCATTACTGATCCCTTAATTTTTGCAGTGCTGGAGATCAAAATCAGAGCCTTGTGCATTCTAGTCATGTGCTCTACCATGAAATTACACACCCAGCCTAATTTATTAATTTATAAAATATTTATTAAGCATACATTTCAGGCACTGTCTTAGGTACTGAGACCAATTACATTTACAAAAACAGACTCTTAATGACGCTCATTGCCTAACTGAAAACAAAACAGAAGAGAAAACTGACAATGTGGTGCCATGGAGATGCTCTGATCAGTAATTTGACTCAGTTTCTTTTCTACTAAGAACAAAAACATCATCTTCATCACCATCAGCAGCATCAGCATCAAAACCATGACCACCACCATCGTCACCATCATCACCATCGTCACCACCATCACCATCATCACCACCATCACCATCACCATCATCACCACCATCATCATCACCATCACCACCACCATCATCATCATCACCATCATCACCACCATCACCATCACCACCATCATCACCACCATCATCACCACCATCACCATCACCACCATCATCACCACCATCAGCAGCAGCATTTTATTTTATGAGTAGGAATATTTTGTCTGTATGGATATCTGTACATTTTGTCTGTATGGATGTGTATTTAATGCCCAGGAGGCCAAAAGAGGGCATCACATCCTCTGGAACTGGAGTTAGAGATGGTTGTTAGCCACCAAGTGGGTTCTGGAAATTGAACTCAGGTCTCTGGAAGAGCAGCAGTGCTCCTATTAACCATCTCTTAACCTCTCCAACTCTGAGCCAATACCGTCTCACTCATTCTAACAACATGGTTCCTGGTGTGGGTGGCATTTCCCTCTGTTACCAATTAATCAGTTCACTCACTCATTGTTCATTTGATACAATCAGAATCTGAGACAACTGACAACAGCTGATACTGAAATCAGGCATCACTAAAATAACTTTTTTTGAGACAGGTTTGAGACAGGCTCAGGTTGGCCTCAAACTCTCTAATAGTTGAGAATAATCTTGAACTTCTGATCCTCCTGTGCCTTCCTTTCAAGTGCTAGAATTATAGAAATGTACTACCATGCCTGCTTTATGCAGTGCTGAAGATCAAGCCCAGGACTTCATGCATGCTCAGCAACCTTCCTAGCAACTGAGCTACATCTGCAGTCCTAAATAAATATTTTATCGCAAAAAAAAAGAGTAAAAAAATCCCAGCACTCGGGAGGCAGAGGCAGGCGGATCTCTGTGAGTTCGAGGCCAGCCTGGTCTACAAGAGCTAGTTCCAGGACAGGAACCAAAAGCTACGAAGAAACCCTGTCTCAAAAATTAAAAAAAAAAATTTTATCGCTCTGTAGTAAATGAGGAATGCAGACACCTCAAGCTAAGCATGGTTATTGCAAGTGAGTTCAAAGTTTAGTAATTTCTGGTAGCTCAGTCAAAAAAGGAAAACAGAACATAGCTCTCATTATCCAATAAAAGAAGGAACAAAAAATTAGATAAAAATTGAAAAAAAATACTTAAGAAGTGTCTCAGCAATTCAACCTGAAAATCTTTCTTGGAGGAAGGATGTGGGGGCACAAGGAGTGCTGATAATTGAAGTAAGGCCTCACACATGCCAGAGAAGCACTCTGCCACGGACCCACATTCGCAGCCCTGATGCAGCAAATCCTAAGTGGGTACCAACAATATCATAACTATGTTCTTAAATAATATAGTATGGACAGGGCTGGAGAGATGGCCCAGTATGTACTGTTGCTCTTCCAAAGGACCTGGGTTCAGATCCCAGCACCCACATCAGGTGGTTCACAACTGCCAGTAATTCCACTTCTCAGGTGTGTGTGTAGGGGTCCAACACTTTTTTCTGGCCTCTGTGTGTACCTGCATTCTTGTGCACATACCTACATATTTAAAAATAAAATTCATACCTACATATTTAAAAATAAAATTAAAATCTTAAATAATACAATAAAAAAATAAAATTTCCAGCAGAAACCAACCCCATGAAGAAGCATAGAAAAGAGGGGTTCTTGAGAGAGAGCCAGGGTAAGAGCTCATCAAAAGCTCTCAGATGAAAAGACTTGAAGGGAAACTACACGAGGATCTAGGAGCAAAGTGAAGAAGAGAGTGAATTCAGAAGCCATACTCTTGTCATCAACCACAGTAGCAGATTGATAGGCAGTACTCGTATTACATTCATAGGAGTCATACGGTTGTTTATACTTACCTTCCACCTAAGTCAAGAGCATGCTCAGTACATTAACAAAGCTATAGTGTAGCTGCTGACTTTGACTTACTGCTGTCCTTTCCTGAGTTTCCTAATTCCTTTCCAAACGAGCAACCATCTCAAGTGCACTCTCCACCAACCCATCTCTACCTATGTCTCAGAACCAGAAGTCTCTGTGGGTCAGCATCTCAAGACTGCACTGAACCCAGTCAGTTTGCTCTGGGGCCATTTATCACCTTATTTTACATACACCAGATCTGTCAGAACTTTGCTCAAATTTGGTCTTAGTAAGGGAATTTCTGGGGCTGTAGTTGGTACTCACTAATCTTTCTCTCTCTTGCCTCTACCATGCCATGTGACTGGGGTCTCAAGACTGCATGTATTCCAGTCTTGAGGTAGAATTCACCCTGACCAGGTTTCTATAGAGGACAAAACGAATGCACACATTCAGCTGGGCAGTGGTGGCACACATCTTTGATCCCAGCACTCTGGAGACAGAGGTAAATGGATCTCTGTGAGTTCGAACTACAGAGTAAGTTCCAGGACAGCCAGGACGACACAAAGGAACCCTGTCTCAAAAAACAAACAAACAAAAGAACATAGCTTTCAGAGCTACAATTGAATATAGGCACTGTATTAAAAGAATCTATATTAGGCATTCTCAATTTGGATGTTTCAATGTGTCCAATGCTGTTATGTGTATTTTGTTGATATGCTTCTATTCTTCCTTGGAAATAACACTCTAATTTTGTCCAGGTACCTAGTTTTTACTGTTCCTGTGGACTCCGTGCACAGTCTCCATTGGTTTGAGTGAATCACGGTGGGCACAGTGTTAACTGGCTTAGGCAAGGGCATCCGCTCAGTTCTGGACAATAAATTTTGAAGGGAAACATTCTGGAAGACAGAAGATGCATACGAGGATATTTTGACTATATGGTCTCGAGGACACAAGAAACTAAAGGATAAGGCTTGAAAGGCAAAGGTGGCAGAGCAGAAAGATGAAAGAACCTGGCCTTGGATGATGTCACTGAACCAAGGAATTACCCAGCTAGACTTTGTATCATAGGTAGACTGCTTATGAAGTTCGTTGATGCTAGTTTCTATTACCTGCAGCCAAAACCACTCTGAGGCCAT